CTGTCCTTTGAGAATTCCTTGCTGATTTCCCTGGTTGACAGGACTCACTCCCTCCTCAAATCATCAAGTCTTAACTGTTTATATATAAGAATGGAAGCTCCTTGTGCTAAGGGATTGTTTTGGTTTGGTTCTGTATCTCTTTCACCCATAGTGTGGCATCTTTCATGTGGTAGGCAAATTATTAATTCTGGATGATTGGATCAAATAGCGGGTTTTTGTCATCATGTATTTTCTCATCTTCATGAGTTCAAATCTGGCCTCAGATACTTACTAGGTTGTGACCCTGGGCAAGTCACTTAACCCTGTTTGCCTCAGTTTCCTCATCTGTAAAAAGAACTGGAGAAGAAAATGGCAAACCCCTCCAGTATCTTTGCCAAGAAAAATCCAAATGGAGTAACAGAGAATTGGACATGACTGAAAAATGACTTAACAACAATAAATTTTCTCATAGTACAAATACTATTTATTATGTAGAGATCTACAATGTGTTTATGTTAAAAAGGGGTCTTTATACAAAAAACCCTGTGAATTATTATCTAGAAGATATACTAACAACTTTAGCCCCTATCATTGTTTAGGGATGTTATAATTTAAATATCCTTAAAGACACAGAGAAAGGAAAAAGGAGTGTAATGGAATAAAGAAACAATCCCAGGAATGATGGAGGCCAGCAGATACAATTCAATCCAGCCTGAGGTTTCCCTGTTCTTTCTGTAAGAAAGTCTTCACTCTGGAGTAAATGGAGCAGTACCCATCTCCTCCCCTAACTTCTGCTACTGCCCAGATCTACTTGGCTTCAAGAGTGTTTTTTTTACCAACTGTCTTTGAAGGACCACAGAACCATGGCTCTCAAAGGCCCTTGTTTTTTGAAGCAATAATCTTAAAAACACACGCGTACACACACACATACACAAAACTGAACATCTCCTTTTCCTTATTCTCTTTGAATTCTGCTCCTCTCACCCTCATTTGGTCTCCCAGTCTGTACCCCCTGAACCACTGAGAATATAGTCTCTTCCTCACCCATAACTCAGACCACAGAAGATATGGAGTCCATAGTAAAGCATCTCAATATTTCATTGGTACAGAGTACTCAAATTCCTGGGTTCAAATCCAGCCTCAGACACTTACTAGCTGTGTGACCCTGGACAAGTAACTTAACCCTGTTTGCCTCAGTTTCCTCATCTATAAAATGAGCTGGAGAAGGAAATGGCAAATGACTTTAGTACCTTTGCCAAGAAAACCCCAAATGGGGTCAGAGTCAGATACAATTGAAACAACTGAACAACAACATTTAGTAAGCACTTACTCTGTGCTAAACTCTGGGCTAAGTTTTAGAGATACAATGAAAAGCAAACCCACAATGCAAATTGCATATAAATGCATATACTGTGCCTAGAGATATTCGCTAATGATGGTATGAAACCACTAGAATTACCCAGACATTTAAAAGCTAAGCTTTTGTTGCTGAAAGCAATGTTGCTTAAAATCCTTATGTTGCAGACAATCATGGAAAGAGAATTTTCTAACCTGCTTAAAAAAATCTTCCCCAAGAGACACTGAAGTAGGTTTTGAACCCATTTGTTTAACAATACAAAAATTCAACATCTTCTGATTAGTTTACAAGAAGAACCCTTTGATACCAGGGAAGATGAGAATTTACTAGCCAAATTTCAACCCACACCTTTGCATAATTGGTAGATGTAGCTGGAAAATGCCTATTATGATTTACTAAGCACAGCCAGTGATATACTTCTTCCATATGGATCTCTATGTATCTTTTTCACCAACAACAGCCATTAAGACCAAATACTGAAATGAACTGAACTTAGAACCAGGTCTTCAAGGTTCTGTATCCCAAAGAGACAAATCAATATTTTAAAAAATAATGATAAAGCATATTCAGGCATATTGCTGTCACTAAAAATTACAAACTTAACGAAAGCAAAAAGGGTTTGTAGCATTAGTAAATAATTATCTTGAAATATTATTTGTTTCATCTTCATCAATAGAACATGTATGTAATTTTAAAATAAGTAAATATATGAACATTGGGAGTGCATGCTCAAAATAAATATACAGATATTAGGGGATACATCATGTGGTGTAGACCAGAGGTGTCAAGCACGTGGCCCACCCTACCTGGCTGCTATGGAAACACTCCTTAATGTGGCACAAAATAGATAAAAATGTAATTGGAAAATATTGAACAAAATAAATAAAAATCAAACAAAACATAGATGACATTACATTTTAAAATTAAGTCAGTATTTAACCTGCTGAGATCCTTATTATATTAAGGACATATTAAGGATTGGTTGGCCCCGTTTCTGTTTGAGTTTGACACCACTGGCACAGAGAATTGCTTGCTGAACTTGGATTCAGGAAGGCTTCGGCTGAAATCACTTCCCCAACACTTGCCTGGGTAAGTCACTTCATCTCTCTAAGCCTCAGTTTCCTCATTTGTAAAATGGGGATATTAATAGCACTCCCCTCGCAGGGCTGCTGTGAGGATCAAGTGAAATTATACACACACACACACACACACACACACACACACACACACACACACACACGTAATATACATATATAATATATATGTAGTGCTACATAAATATTAGCAATTATTAATGGAAATTCATTTAATTAAAGGCTAATTCCTCTTTCATTGTTGTGCCATTAGGAATCAAATCTAAATGTAATCTTAGAAAAACTTTAATGACAACTCTGAGGATGGAAAAAGGAAGACATTATAATAAATACTTGAGAAGACACAAAATGTTAGCCCCAGATTTTTAAAATGCAATATTTGTTGACTTTATCTTCATTGGGCAGTTCTTAGGTACAGATTAATTCTGGAAATGGTTTATTGGCAAAATGACTGTACTTTCAGGAAAATCGATTCCCTGGCGTTTGGCAATGTTTTCACTCCCTTCTATTCTGACCTTAGCACTGGAGTCCAATATCAAGATTCAAAGGGGTCAATTAGATTGACTGCACGGTGGAACTTGCCCTAAGAGTCTATTCTTTCCATTGAGAGAAAGAACCCTGAAGGGGTAATAGATTGAGCCCTGGACTTGGAGGCAGGATGGACATGAGTTCAAATGCCATTATGTGATACTTACTAGCTTGTGTGATCCTGGGTAAATTCTTCTGTTGCTTCTTGTAACTCCCCAGAATTTATCTATAAAATCAGACAGGGTACTCCATCTACATTGATAGAAAGAGATTCCATCCTAGGGAGTTCCTCAGTGTTAAAGAGACCACAGATCCTTTGGGCCTTCATAGGTGGAAGGCTTAAGTCCTATCCTTTGCGTTTCAATTCAACAGGTATTTATTAAATGCCTTCTGTATACCTAGAACTGCTCAGAAGTGAGAGGAGCCCCTTTCTCTCTCAAAGGACTTGGATTCCAAGGGGTGCACAGGTGAAGATGTAGCGCTCCTGACTATAACTGCTGTATGTGTCATCCTATGGGTCACCTTTTAAAAGGGATATTGATGAATGGGTCAGAGACAAAGGGGATATTGATAAACTGGTTCATATACAAAGGAGGCTGAGCAAGGGGTAAGTACACTGGAAACTCTGCCACATGACACACACATGAAGAAACTGAGGGTTTTTAAGTTAAAGAGATCACAGCTTCATTGATTCATAGACTTAGCACTAAAAAGGACAGAGGCCATTAGATTCAACTCCCCCGTTTTGCAGATGAGGAAACCAAATCACAGAGAGATTAAATGACTTGCCCAGGATAAATAGGAAGGGAGGAAACAAGCATTTGTTTAGCACCTACTGTATGCTAGGCACCATGCTAAGTGCATCTATCTCCTAGGTTGTTGTGAGGATCAAATGAGATATTTGTAAAGTACTTAGCCCAGTGCCTGGCACATAGCAAGTGCTATAGAAATACTAGTTTTCATTATTTAATGAAAATGAAATATTATTTCATTTAATCCTCACAACAATCCTGGAAAGTAGATGCTATTTATTATCCCCATTATATAGATGAGGAAACTAAGGCAAGCAGAGGTTTAGTTATTTGCTCAGGGTCACATAGCTTGAAAGTTTCTGAGGCTGATTTGAACTCAGATCTTTCTGACTCCAGGCTCAATAGTCTATCCACTGAGCCACCTCATTATCTTTTAAACACCAGATATGCTTCCAGCCCAGCCCCTTCTCCCTCCTCCCATTCCCCAGCCATCATTGAGGGGAGGAGTCATTGTGGAGAGGGGATCTTACTTCCTCATCCCCACCAGCAGCAACTGCTGTCCAGCTGCCGCCGATAGGGAGACAGGCCCAAGAGTCCTGGGAGTAGCAGCACCCGCCATTCCCCAGAATACTGGGCCTGCTTCCAGGGAAGCTCTCATTGCTATCATCCAGGGAAGTGACTCCTGTGGAAAAGAGACTGGCCATGCCTACCAACTGCTGATAACAGCCATCTACAGGGAAGGCAAGTCAAGCCAGCTAAAGTAGCAAGAGACTCTGAGGGACGAATAGAGATACAGGGCAGCACTAGATAGAGATAGAAGTCAACCACCACTATCTTGACTGCCATTTTCTTTCTGACTCTGATAGAGACAGCCCAGGACCATGAATCCAAGAACATTTGCAATAGCAATGTGTCTAGCCCAGTGTCAAATGGTCAATATGAGAAACTGACGTGATTTTGTTAATGTAAATGACATTAACGGAGAAGCATGAGCACCCACTTTGCTGCCATACCTTAAGGACCATGGTACCTTTCCCTCTCACCTGCAGCTAGAACCTTCTATGTGTATTGTTGTCCCCATTAGAATGCGAACTCCCAGAGAACAGGGACTGTCCCTGCTTTTCTATTTGCATTACCCAGGCTTTGCAAATAGTAAGCACTTAATAAGGGCTTTAGTCATCCATCCATCCATCCATCCATCCATCCATCCATCCATCCATCCATCCATCCATCCATCCATTAATAACAAACCTTCCTTCTTTCAAAGGTTGGCTGTTGCCCTAGACTCACCAGAATCATTCCAGGTGTGACTGCATACTTCTGTACCAACAGTGGTGGATCTTCCTGTAGGGCACCATGGATATTATACCGCAGCAGGCGGTAAGGGTCATGCTGACACTGCAAAGACACAGAAATGGCAGTTTGGGGGAAGTGGACTTCCTTGGAAGTACTGATAAATGAGAGTCCAACTCAGGCATGGAGAATAGGGCACTTTAGATACTAATTAGCTTCGTAACCTTAGGCAAGTCACTTAATCTTTTGGTGACTCAGTTCCCCCATCTGTAAAATGAGATCCCAGAGTTTAGCTCTAATCTTCTGATCCTGCAATCATAAGACAGATATTTTGACGTGAGGCATTCTAAGGGATTAGAAAATCCCAGTCATACTCCAAAACTGTCCCCTAGAGGAGACTTCTCCAGGAAAAATCACTTAGGACTTTTCTGAACCTGACATCGGTATGGGAAGATTAGATTTCCACCAGTTTCTTAAAAGGAGGAAACCCCATCTTCCTATACTTAAGGCCGCTTAAGGCTGCAGATTCCCCAGCGGGGGCTAGAACCTTCACTGAAATCCTATACTGATGACTCATTGTGGCAGGGAGGTGAGCTCTCCAAGGTTACTCCAGGGGAAGCACAGCTTCTAGCAAGTCCTACCAGCTCCAGGTCTGGCTGGCAATGCATTGGATATCTGCTGTCTAAGAAGTGCCTAGCTAAGGTTGGGGCCTGAGGGGTGGTTATCATCAGAAGAGAGGCTGCCCATCAAGTGATGCCTTTTCATTGGTCAGAGAAACTCAGGGAACCCTCTAGTAAGCTACAGTGGGGTTTGTAATTTGCACTCGTAGAGGGAAGTCCACCCACGAAGGGAAGGATATTTTGTAGTGATAATAAGTATCCTAGATATCTCATTACAAGCTGCACAAAATGGTCTTCAGTTTGGTATGGTTAGGTGTACGGGACAGAAGAGAAGGGCTGGCACTCAGTCTGCCATTTGATAGCTTCCTATTTTAAATAGCTATTCTTGCTCCTGCTCAAGGGGTCTCTCTCATGATTCTATTACCATAGATTAAGAGTTAAAAGGGATTTTAGGTGTCAGAGATTCTGACTTCCCCATTTTATACATGAGGAAACTGAGGCACTGAGCAATTAAGTGATTTGCTCAAGGTTGCACATCTAGAACTAGGTACATAAGCTTTGTTTTTGTTTTTTGTTTTCCTATGCTGTTGAAAAATCACATGAATTTTTGGTCTCCTCCAAAAGAAACTCTTTAAGCGCAGGGTACTTAATGACGGGATTTCAGTCACAGGGGTGGAGGCTCCTTAGCAACCCCGAAGTTTTATTGCATAGTTGCCCATCAGTTCTATACATAGGTAGGCTCACTCTGTGCCTATTCTTGACCTTCCTGGCCTGGGCTGGGTAATGGAAAGTTCCGGACTTACCTGAATGCAAGGGGAGGGCCGGCCGCACTGACTGTGCAAATAGAGGGTGTCCAGGATCCACTCCAGATGGCTCGAGTTGGCAGAACTCTGGATGGTCATCACATAGAGCACCAGGATTTGGTTGGGGTCCCTGGGAGCTGAGATAAAGCGCTCGAACTCCACATCTGTGAGTGCGGGGCTTTTCACCAAGCATCGGCAGCCAAAGCTAGTGTCCTGTCTGAGCAGCAGCTTTCGGAGCATCAGTGGACAGTCAGCAAGAGCAAAAGCCCAGGTGCTGGAGGACCGCGGGTCCGGCACGCCTGCCGACTTGGACCTATAAGGCAGGAACCCCTCCCCCAGACCCCAGAATGAGAAGAGGGCAATCTGAAATACCCAATCCCAGCTAAAAGGGGAGTGAGGAAGACCTAGCTTCAATACTGCCTCACACATTTCCTAATTGTGGAAACCTGGACAAGACATTTAATCTCTCGGAGCCTTAGTTTTCTCGCTGGAAAATAAAAGGGTTAGATTGAATGGTCTTTATGGTCCCTTAGAAACCAGCTCTAAATCGATGATTTCTGTGATTCTGTAAAGGAAGGGTTCTTAAGTTGGGGGTTTGCCCCTCCTCACCTCTCTGCTTTGCTAAAGTCCCATCGGAACATCCTATCACATTTGTATCTACTCTGTACTTTGCATTTACCAGGCAGTGACTCAAGGAGGGAAAGAAGAGGGGAGGGAACAGAGAAGAGGGGATAACTGTATTTCAATATATTGGTTTCCCTTTTAATTCTGTATTTTATTTTATGCATTTTAAAAGATGACTCTGATGGCTTCTGAATGTTTTTTGGCTTTACCAGATGGTCAAATATGGGCGTAACACAAGGTGAAAAACTCCTACCATAAAGGAATCCCATCACAAGTTGAAAAGTAGATGCACGGGGCAGCTAGGTGGCTCACTGGACAGAGCTCTGGCCTTAGAGTCAGAGGACCTGAGTTAAAATCTGGCTTCAGACACTTGGCACTTACTAGCTGTGCGACCCTGGGCAAGTCACTTAACCCCTATTGCTTCACCAAAAAGCAAAAAACAAAACAAAACAACAAAAAAGTAGATGAATGAAATTCTTCTTAATAGCTTTCCCAGAATTTCTGAGTTGTAAGGCCAATTAATCTAACCCACACTTGAATGAGAATTGCCTTTACAGTACACCTAATAACCTAAAGCTTATCCAGTCTTCCCTTCAAGATTTCCAGTGATGAGAAGCTCCTTATCTCCCCAAGCAGTTCATTCTGTTTTTTGGATAACCCTAAATATGAAGATATTTCTCTTGATGTATCAAGTTAAAATGTATACCTTTGAACCTTTTATACATCATTGCTCCTAATTCTTCCCCTGGAGTCAGTTAGGACAAGACTAGTCCCTTTTCCCTATGAGTATCCTTTAAGTATGTAAAAATATTTGAAGTACTGAGGCAGCTAGGTGGGGCAGTAGATAGAGTACTGGACCTTAAGTCAGGAAGAACTGAGTGCAAATCCAGACCTAGACTTATTACTTGTGTGACCCTGGGCAAGGTGTTTAACTGTCTGTCTCAGTCTCCTCATTTGCAAAGCGGGTATAATACCTCCCAGGGAAAAGTACTTTGCAAATCATAAAGTGCTATGTAAATGCTAGCTATTATTATTAAAGACAATTATCATTCCCTCTGCCTCTAAACCCCTCAAGCTTTCCCTTTATTCATTCCCATTTTCTTAAACTGATCCTCATCTGACATGATTTCAAGTCCCTTTAACATCCTGACAACATCCTTCTCTGGACACTCTAGACACTCTCCAATTTATCAGTGGATAGGTGAATAAATAGAACCAATAATAGAAAGCAAACTTATAAGATGAGGATTCTGTATTATAGATCTTGGTATCTTTCTTAGGTTTTTTACACAGTGGGTGTTCAACCGTTGTTTGCTGAATAGGTGGATAGATAAAATGAACTAATCTCAGTGCCAGTGAGTGTTTCTGGTCTTACAGAATGATAAGAGCTAAAAGGATAGAGAGACTGACCAACTGGGCAACCTAGAAGGCTCTCGCAGCAGGAGGGGAGGTTAAAATGAGGCACCAAGCTTGGTCTTCCCAAGACAGAGCTTGATGATATTACCAGCTCATGAATGGCTCTGGGTGGGTTTCTGGATGTAAACAGGCCTTGAGTCAACAGATATGGGTCTTGTGCGTCCAGGTCCCAGGGGATTTCAGTAGCAAACGCATGTCTAAACTCACCTATCAGGGACTGTGGGTGGGATTTTGATAGGCTTCTTTTTAGAAGTGCTCACGACTGCCGATGAAGCATCATCCCAGAGTGAGTCCCCCGCAGAAGAATTATGTAACACTGAATGAGTGTGGGAAAGTGGTTCTGATGCTGACTTCTGAATCCACTGTAGAGAGGATGGTGATTTCTTCTTGAACCGGCTGAGGTCTATTTCATCCTTCACTGGATAGTCTATTGTGAGGAGGCCTGTGAGTAGAGCCCAATATATAATGTCGTGAGTCAAGTCTGACCTTATCTGCCACTGCTTTTCTCCCCAAACCCTCTCCTCCACTCAGTCTGGCTTATTCAGTGTTGATGCAAGGTCCTTCCTTCATCCATCACACCTCTGCTCTTGACACTCTCCTCAGCTGAGAGAACTCTCTAGTGGCTATCTCACCTCTCTAGTTCCTACCATTCACTTTAAGGCTGAGATAGAGTTCCTCTGTAAATCAAGCCCCACTTCTGCTGGGAGATGCTTCAAGGCTATAGACCATACTATTCTCATCCTCCACTGAGCCCCATCATTCTTTTTTTTTAAATAGTATTTTATTTTTTATTACTTACATGTCAAGAAGATTTTTGGCGCTCATTTTTACAAGATTTTGAGTTCCAAAATGTTCTCTTTCCTTTCTCCCCTCCCCTTTTCAAAAAATGGTAGGCAATTTGATATAAATTATAAATGTGCTATCAGGTAAAACATTTCTATATTAGTCACAGCTGTGAAAGAAGAAACAGATCAAAAGGGGAAAAAACCCATGAAAAATAATAAGGTGAAAAAAATATGCTTCGATCTGTGTTCAGAATCCATCAGTTCTTTATCTAGATGTGGACTGCATTTTCCTTCAGGAGTCCTTTGTGCCATTCTTGGATTGTTGTGCTGCTGAGAAGAGCTGAGTCATTAATAGCTGATCATCACACAATCAATGTTGCTGATACTATGTACAATATTTTCCTGGTTCTGCTCATTTTACTTTTCATCAGTTCAGACAAGCCTTTCCAGGTTTTTCTGAAATCTGCCTGTTCATCGTTTCTTGTTGCACAATAGTATTCTATTACATTCATATGCCACAGCTTGTTCAGCCATTCCCCAATTGATAGGCATCCCCTCAATTTCCAATATTTTGCCACCATGAAAAGGGCTGCTATAAATATTTTTTGCACACGTAGGTCCTTTTCCTTTTTTTAGATCTCTTTGGGATACACATCTAGCAGTGATATTGCTAAATCAAAGGGTATTCACAGTTTCATAGCCCTTTGGGCATAGTTCCAAATTGTTCTCCAGGATGGTTATATCAGTTCACAAGTCTACCAACAATACATTGGTGTCCCAATTTTCCCACATCCTCTCCAACATTTATCATTCTCCTTTTTTTGTCATATTAACCAATCTGATAGGTATGAGGTGGTACCTCAGAGCTGTTCTAATTTGCATTTCTCTAATCAAAAGTGATTTGGAGCCCTTCTTCATATGCTTAGAGTTAGCTTTGATTTCTTCATATAAAAAATGCCTGTTCACATCCTTTGATAATTTATCAATTGGGGAATGGCTTGTATTCTTATAAATTTGACCTGGTTTTCTATATGTTTGCGAAATGAGGCCTTTATCAGAAACACTGGCTGTAAAAATTGTTTCCCAGCTTTCAGCTTTCCTTCTAATCTTAATTGCACTGAGTTTGTTTGTGCAAAAGCTTTTTAATTTAATATAATCAAAATTATCTAATTTACATTTTATAATGCTATCTATCTCTTGTTTGGTCATGAACCTGTAAGCCACTTAACTTCTCCTTTAAGAATTTGGATGCTATGCCACTTGGTGCACATATGTTTACTATTGATATTACTTCATTGTCTATGGTACTTTTAGCAAGATGTAGTTTCCTTCCTCATCTCTTTTAATTAGGTCTATTTTTGTTTTTGTTTTGTCTGATATCACGATTGCTACTCCTGCTTTTTTTTTTTAACTTCGGCTGAAGCATTATAGATTATGCTCCAGCTCTTTACCTTTATTCTATGTGTCTCTCTCTGCTTCAAGTGTTTTTCTTAAAAATAACATATTGCTGTAGGATTCTAGTTCTTGATTCACTCAGCTATCTGATTCCATTTTATGGGAAAGTTCATCCCATTCACATTCACAGTTACAATTACTAACTGTGTATTTCCCTCCTTCCTATTTTTCCTCCTGTTCATCCTGTCTCTCCTTTAATCCTTTCCCTCCCCATGTTTTGCTTCTGTCTACTGCTTCCCCTGGTCTGCCCTCTCTTTTGTCACTCTCTCTCCAGCCTGCCCTACCTCTGTCCCCCATGCTTTATTTAATCTCCCCCCCTCCTACTTTCCTGTCAAGTAAGATAGACTTCTACAATCAACTGATTGTGTATATTATGCCATCTCTGAGCCAATACTGATGAGAGTAAGGTTCAAGCAATGCCCATCGCCCACCCTTCCATCTTTCCCTCCATTGTAATCAGTTTTTCGTGCTTCTTCATGTGAAATAATTTATCCCATTCTACCTCTCCCTTCCTTCTGCATCCAGTGTACTCCTCTTTCTCATCCTTTATTTATTTTTTTATGTCATTCATTCCCTCAAATTCACCTTATACCCATACCCTCTGTCTATGTATATTCCTTCTAGCTGTACTATTAGTGGTACAGTTTTTAAGAATTACAAGTGTCATCTTCCTGTGTAGGGATGTAAGCAATTCATCTCCATTGAATCCCTTATGTTTTCTTTTCCCTTTTACCTTTTCAGGCTTTTCTTGGGTCTTGATATTGGATATCAAATTTTTTGTTATGAAAGCTTGAAGTCCTCCTATTTCATTGAATGACCATTTTTTTCCCCCTTGAAGTATTACGCTTAATTTCATTGGATAGGCAATTCTTGGTTATAGTCTTAGCTCCTTTGCCTTTTGTAATATCATGTTCTGTGACCTCAGATCCTTTAATGTTGCAACTGCTAAGTCTTATGTAATCCTGATTGTGGCTTCCTGATATTTGAATTGTTTCTTTCTAGCCACTTGCAGTATATTTTCCTTGACCTGATAGTTCTGTAATTTGGCTATAATGTTCCTTGGAGTTTTTATTTTGGGATCTCCTTCCTGAGGTGATCAGTGGATTCTTTCATCCTATTTTGCTCTCTGTTTTCAGGATATCAGGGCAGTATTCCTTGATAATTTTTTTTTTTTAGGCAATTGGGGTTAAGTGAATTGCCCAGGGTCACCCAGCCAGTAAGTGTCAAGTGTTTGGTCTGAGGCCAGATTTGAACTCAGGTACTCCTGACTTCAGGGCCAGTGCTCTATCCACTGTGCCACCTAGCTGCCCCTTCTTTGATAATTTCTTGAAAGATGCTGTCCAGGTCCTCCTTTTGATTATGACTTTTCATAGTCCAGTGATTCTGACATTGTCTCTCCTGGATCTAGTTTCTAGGTCAGCTGCTTTTCCAATGAGATATTTTACATATTCTTCTATTTTTTTCATTCTTTTGAATTTGTTTGATTGATTCTTGATTTCTCATAGAGTCATTAGCTTCCACTTGCCTAATTCTGACTTTTAAGGAGTTGTTTCCCTCACTTAGATTTTGTACTTTCTTTTCCATTTGGCCAGTTGTACTTTAGATATTTGTACTTCTTTTTCCATTTGGTCAATTCTGCTTTTTAAGCAGCTGTTTTCTTTTTCCAAGCTGCTGACTCTTTTTTTCATAATTCTCATATCACTCTCATTTCTTTCCCCAATTTTTCATCTCTCTTATTTAATTTTTTTCCTTCTATTTCTCTTCCATGATTTTTAAGCTCCTTTTTGAGCTCTTCCATGAGTTCTTTCTAGGCTTGAGATTGCTTCCTGTTTTTCTCTGGAGTTTTCCTCATAAGTGTTTTGACATTGTTGTCCTCTTCTGAGTTTGTGTCTTGAGCCTCTCTGTTACCATAACAATAATGGTCAACATAATAATGGTCAGATTCTTTGTGGTTGCTGTTGTTGTTTGCTCATCTTTTTTGACCTTCTTCCTTTCTTTTAAATTTGAGCTCTGCTCCTAGGATAGAAGGGGCACTGTGTCTGACTTCTCGTGCCAGGGGCTGCAGGTCCTGGCTGTTTACTTGGTGCTGTACTGATGCTGCCCTGATGCCCATAAGCGACCCTTGTGTCTGGTGCTGTGCTGAGGGAACGGGGTGGGGAGTGGCTGGCACTGCTGGAGGCTGTAGGGGTTTTAGTGCTAATGTCTGAGCTGGCAGCTGAGGTCAGTGGTTTTTTTGTGACTCCCTGGGGCTACACTGAAGTACTCAGATCTGGCTTCTGGAGGCTGCCTATTTGCCTGGGGCTGTGCTGAAGCATGTGGTGGTTCTCGTAGCTGGAGTGTATCCATTACCCTGGCTATGCTAAGGCATGTGGCAAAGTCCTGGTGTTGGCATTTGCCTGCTCCACCTCACTGGGGCTTAGGATCATCCACTGGTTTGCTGAGATGGGGCTTGCTCTGGTTTGCTGGGACACTTCCCATCCTGGACTGGGCTCCCCTTTTATTCCAGTGAGACAAAACTTTCTGGCTGATCTTCCAATTTTCTTGGGCTAAAAGATCATTTCACCCCATCATTTTACTGCTTCTGCTGTTCCAGCATTTGTTTTGGGGCTCTATTTTATGGTTGTTTGGCAGTGAATATAGGAGAGTTACAGCAATTTACTGCTTACTCCACCATCTTGGCTCTGCCCATTCCCCATCATTCTAGAAACACTCACTGGTACTAAAGATTATTTTGTCTCATATTATTAGTCCTATTTATCTATCCACCCCTTCATTCATTCAGCAAATAACTGTTGACTACCAAGGACTGAGGAGGCAGAGTTCCTATATTCAAAGAGTTTCCAGCTTAATGGAAGGTGAGTAGGACGGGGCATATATCCAAATAACATAATTTCATATGGAGTAGACGCATAAGAGGTAGCTAGGTGGTACAGTGGATAGAGTGCTAGATTTGGAGTCAGGAAGACCAGAGTCCAAATCCAGCCTCAGACTCTTACTAGCTATGGGAATGCAGGCAACCAACTTAACCCCAGCACCTACCTCACAGGATTGCTGTGAGGATCAAAGGAAATGATGTATGTGAAGTGCTTGGAAAAGCAGAAAGCACTATAAAATGGAAGCTGTTATCTGAAGCTTTGCACAGAGAGGATGTGACTCAAAACATACTTGTTGATTGAGGATTCCAGGAGATTCTTCTGATGGGAGAAGGGTAAGGGAGGTCTGCCACAATGTAAAGGCTGATAGGAATCTCCCCACTCTCCTCAGGGAATATTTAGTGATTCACTAATTATATAAGCTATGATTTCTAGTGGAAATAAGTCTAACTTTGTAGTCAGAAGACCTAAATTCAAATCCTATCTCTATCACTTCCAACCTGTGTGACTATGTGCCCATTTCCCTCTTGGCATTATGACTTTGGGCAAGTCACACCCTTTATGGTCTCCAGTCTCTTTATCTGAAAAAGGAGGAAGCGACCAGATGAACTTAGAAGTCCCTTCCAACCCTAAAGCTACGATACTTCTCCATCTTTAAGATCTGTCACAATGCTATGAAGGAAATGGACACATAGGCTCTGTTTTTGTGTTGGGAATGTGGGGCTGGCAGATGGATAGCAACACAAGCTGTGTTCATGTATGAATGAGCTATGGGGGACTGGACAATTGTCAAAGATGTCTGTGGCAACTTCTCCCTTCCCCTTTCAGCAAACCTACCTCCATTTCTACCCTAGAACTCCTAGCACTCCAAGGGCTCTAATTCTTTCTTCTCCTCTAAGTACTTATCATGACCTCAACTGGCTACAAACGAATGCTCCTTTCTCTCCATTCTTCTCCAAAAGCCCTCAACAAAATAGAGCTTATAACATCTTATGGTGTTTCCCTTCTTCTATTATCATAGGGTACCCTGTGAGACCCCCAAATCTGCCAAGACCTAAAGAAAAAAGAGCTTTCATTATAGACTCTAAGGCACCAATGAGCACCATGGGAAAGCCCCTTTGATATTTACTTTCATTGTGATTTTGGGCAAGTCATTTCTCATTGAGCTTCATTTTCCTTCTCTGTAAAACTGACTAGATGGCATCTGCGGTCTCTTTCCGATTTTGCTCTATGATTTTATATGAACCATGTTAGGATGTAAATCTACAGAATATATTTGGAGTCAGGGAAACTCTATCTGGCAGCTTCCAACTCGTACCATGTAAGCAGCTGTCTAATTTCCTGATTATCAAGGACTACCTGATTGTATGGGGATGTGGAAGGGTCACCTTAGAAGCCTCAGAAGTGATTCTGAATTTAAGAGGCATAGGAACATTTGACCCAAAACTAGCAATGAACAGGGATGGACTTTTGGGATGGAAAAGTAAGAATTGGTCAACATAGTTAAGATTGATATGCATTTTACAAATTGCAAAAAAACTACAGGAAAGGGAGTGCTCCAGGCTCAAGAGCACCTGTTAGCCAGGCTTCTTCACCCTTCCTGTCCCCTGATTTTTACCTGCTGACAGCAAAACAGAATTCATAAATTGAGACACTGTCTTCTGAAATCGTTTCTTAATCTCAACCAGTGCTCGGATCATCTTGGAAGTTCTTTCTTCAGCGCTGCTTCTATAAGAATACTTGAAAGACCAAGAAGGGGAAATGCAGTCATTGTTAGCCAAGAGCAGCATCTCATCCTCACCTCTAGAAAATCTGAGCTGTCTTGTGATGCAGGTAAAGTGGAGGCACATTGACAAGGGTTCAGGGTAATGAATATATCCTCTTAAAACTGTTTGTCCTATTCTGAAAGATTCATCCCATTATCTCTGCTAGTGAGAAGGGATAATAAACCCTCTTACTCTAGTGGGCAGGGCTTCTAGCCTGACTGGACTTTGCAGAGGAGAATTGAAATCATATTTAAATCCTAGAGAGTATGTTGTAATGGTTAGGAAGCCAACCTTGAAGCCAGGAAGACCTGGGGTTCTAGTCTAGCCCCTGTCCCTGGGGAAGTCACTTAATTTCTTGGTGATATTGGTAACCCTTTAATAAGATTGCGGAGTACAGGGATTTTTCTCTCCCAGAAACTCCCTAACCAACGAAATCACAAATGTACTCCCTATCCCTATCTAAACTCTTTGTTGCTAGACTTATGCTTCATCTGGGCTGCAGGATTTTAAAAGAATAGTATTCTAAATGCAAATAGCCACTAACAAAAACAAATGTTCAAATAAACAAATGAAAATAAGGAAGTTTTGTATGTGAAACCATTACTTATGGTGTATAATGAGTGTATATTGTATTCACTCTAACAAGACAGTAAGAAAAAATGTACTCTTTGCTTCCATGTCCCCCTCTGAATTCTTTTTCTCCTGTATTTGTCTGAAGCTTGTTGCTATCATCACCACAAATAAATGATTGAATAAAAAGCATTTATTAAATACATACACTGTGTTAAGTATTGGAGACACAAATAGAAAAGCAAGATGTTCTCTACTCTCAAGGAGCTCACATACTAATGGGGAAAGAAAACAGTAGGAGGTTTCAGCCAAAAGTCAGATGGAAAGGCCTTATGGTTCTTAGGGTGCAGCAGCAAATCAGTTAAGTGATGCAACTTCTAGTTAATGTTATGCTCCTGGTAAGACCACATCTATTTCTGATGCTGAACCATTTGACAGTACCAAAGACTTGGTGATGAGAACTTGCTTTTCCAGATATTCAGTATAGGTTCTGTGAGGCACTGGGGGCTTCAGAACCTATAGAAGCAATGAACAGGTAGCAACTGCACAAGGAATGCTACATTGGATGATTCTTCAGTAGGTGGGCTGGAAGTAGGGCTGGTGGTCTGAGGAGGCACTTCTATTCCTGGAGTTCTTGGGCTTCTTATTCACTCAATTAACCTAGCATTTATTAAGCACCTACTATGTGCTAGCATTGTGCTGGGTGCTGGGAATACAAAGACAGTCCCTGCCTTCAAGGAACTTATATTCTATATACGGGGATAAATGGCTAAATAAATAAATTCACAAAGCACATCTGCCCAGTTATTGGACATAACAGCTGTTTGCCATTTTTTGTTTTTAAATTTCACTTTATTTTGTTTTGTCTTGTTATTATGAATAATGTTGTTATGACTATCTGAGCAGACAGAGATATCTTTACCCCTTCTCCCCCATAACAATATCAGGGCATATTGTCCCAGAAGTGAGATATTTGAGTCAAGGGGAATGGACATCTTTTATAGATTTTTTTCCTGGAAGGTGCCTCTGAGGCCAATACTCCAACTTCCTTATTTTACAGATGAGGAAACTGAGGCCAAAGAAGCTGTAAGCTCCTCAAGTGCAGGGACCATTTTGTCTTTATATCCCCAGAATTTGGCATACAGTAGGCATAAATGCTCGTTGATTACTTAACTGATTTTTTCCCCACTGTTGTACACCACCTTTTCTTTGCAGGTTTTACTATAAATTGCCATACTGATTCATTTCTAGGACATCTGGTTAATCTCTCTTAGCCCATGGTACTGGATGAAAATGAGGCTAGGTTCCAGAGGCAATACCTGAAGTCATGCCACAGTTGCATTCTTCAGTGAATCCTTGACACTGCTAAGTAGGCTAATCCTCTCAGATTCTAAAGAACAATAGCCCCTTGTGAAAAAAAATGAGTATGAATTATAGAGTATATCTAAGACCAGGGAGCTGGAAGAATTTAAGGTGACATATAAATATGGAAGTTTAAGTATTGTATAGCATCTAGCATAGGATCTCGCATGTAGCAAATATTCAATATTTTCTGAAAGAATAACTCATTGAATTAAAAAATACGTATTGGAAGATGATGGAGACCCTTTAATAAAGACTTCCTTCTAAATTGACATCAACCCATAGCCATACTCTTTGATACCAGAAATGCAAATAGTTCTCAATCTTCCCTTTGGTATGGCTATCTAGACCACATATTTCCATTTTGTCCACAAGGATAGCATGACAAAAATTCATCAAATATTTTACTGAAATCTGGAGAATTCTCTAGATCTTCAGTCCAGTAACCACACAGAAAAGGAGAATGATCTGCACTTAAGGAAGCTATGCTGACTTTTTGTGTCCACTGCTTCCTTTCCTAGATGCTCACCATCCAGCCCTCTGGTAAGTCATTCTAGAATTTTTTCCAGGATTCAGAGCCAAATTCACTAATGCATAGTTTTCAGAATGTACTTTCTTCCTTCTTCTTTTTGGAAAATTGGAACACCATTTCATTCTGAGCTTCAGTGTTCCTGACACCTCTTACAGCAATTTGTCACACTTTTTGCATCCATCTTCCATTTCCTGACCTTGCTTCCATTTTCTATAAATATCTTTTTAAAATCCAAGTTCGCTGATGATCACTTTGTGCATCCATATTGGTTTTTTTTTAAACTTTCCACTTTCTTTCTTACAAAAATTATTTCTGTTTGGGTCTTCAGAATTTTCTTCTTCTGAGATTCTGAGATTCCGATCCTGCTTAGGTTGACTTTCCCTGAAGAAATTTAGGCTTTGTGAAACTATTTATATTTTCTCTAAATCTTTTGGAGTCTTGCTTTTCTAAAATCTAAAATATTTGTCAAACATTTCCTGGCTTTCATTGCCATTGTCACAAATTCCAATATGAAGTGCTAACTTCCCCCAATGTGTTAATCATTTCCATTTCAGCAGCCACCTCCCTCTTGTTGGTCAGAATCAAGTCTAGAAGAGCAGTTCTTTTCATCCTTTCCTCTACACCTTGTGAATGATGAAATTAGCATAAAGCACCGTTATCATTAGCTATTCTACTTTTAACAGAGAATGCTCCAGCAAATGTTCAGAAAATTAAGTCCCCTATCAATACCATATAATGCTTCTGAGCCAGGCTTCTGATGTTTACCCGATTGCCCATTTACTTTCTCCTTTCGTTCAGATGGTCTGTATTATACTCTAACGACAATTATGACTTTCATTTTTCCCTCCGTTGATCTTCACTAAAGTGCTTTCCATCATGTTTTCCCACTCACTATTTTTATATTTTGTTTTTCAGTAAAGAAGCTCAGTTTTAAAGAAGAAAGGAAAACAAAACACTTGCAACAAATATGCATAGTTGAGCAAAACAAAGTCCCATATTGTCCATGCCCAAATGTATGTCTCAATTTGTGTCTTGAATTCATTACCTTTCTGTTAGGAAGTGGGTAGAATAACTCATCACAGTTAAATCTCTCTCTCTCTCTCTCTCTCTCTCTCTCTCTCTCTCTCTCTCTCTCTCTCTCTCTCTCTCTCTGTCTCGCTCTCACTCTCGCTCTTGCTCTTCCTCCCTCCCCCCTTGTCTTCCATTGGGCAGAAGTAATGAAAATAGCACCTATACCCCTAAAGCTTTTAATTTCTTGGCCAAGACTTTATAATCCCTAGCTACACTTTCCACAGCTCTTCTGACAATATTATTTGTCCCCACACAAACTGCCAGAAGCTCATAGTAGTGATCAGGTTTGTAAAGTCTTGGAAGATTCATCATGTCTCACAATATGCCCTCATTAGGCCACAGATGTCTATATTATTAATTCCAGGTTGAAAAATAGCTGCTTTGATACTGCTCAGCAGAAAGTTTCCAACCAATGAAGTCACTTATTTCATTGTTCTTTGATGCTTAATTGCGTCATCCCTCCCTTCATGGAACCTGTGGGTCTACAATATTGCTCTTTGGAGCAGAAACTGCTCCTTAAACTTCAGAGGCACCAGCTCCTACTTCATGAGACAAAGTGTAACTTGTTTGAAGCCATGGGTTCTTGACTCTCATTCTGGTGTTCCATCTACCACATCACACAGCTTCAATAAAGGAAGAAGCAAGAAAACAAACATGGAATCTTGGAGTTGGAAGAGACTTCAAGGATTATTTCCTCCAACCTAGTCCTGAATAAGAACCACCACCCCACCACAACATTCCCAAGAAATAGTTAGGCAGGGGAGCTAGGTGGTGCAGTGGATAGAGCACCGGCCCTGAAGTTAGGAGGACCTGAGTTCAAATCCAGCCTTAGACCCAACACTTGACACTTACTAGCTGTGTGACACTAGGCAAGTCACTTAACCTTAATTGCCTTAAAAAAAAAAGAAAGGGGAGGGGAGAGGGAAGTTTACACCAAATAGCCTGGAAAGATCCTCATCAAACAATAACATAGAATCATAGAATCTTATTGTTAGAGGGGGCTTTACAAGTCATCACATCCAAGATCTCCTAATGGTTACAGTGCGGATAAAACATTATCTACTAGAGAATATGCCCCCTCAGTTAGACATGAGAGTCTTCTCTGATTAAACAAAATCTTCCTAAATGCAAGAAAACTGGAAGCTCTGAAATAAGAGGTACTGTTAGAACTGCAATCCATCCCACAATCGAAAGGACGTACCAATTAATAGGAAAAAACCTGAAAAATCCATCTATAGGACAGCCCATACTGCCTGTCTTTTGGGCCAATAAAACATTTAAATTGACGAGCTGCCTAGTTTCCAAAGCACGGCTACATATAAATATTTAGCAGAAAACCAGGCTATGGGACCTTTAAAAGCTGTGCTTGCTTTGAAGGCAGTTTTCACTGTTGCTCCAACTGGGTTGGTCTTCACTGTGCTATGGGTGCCTGGGGAGGCCATTTAATAAGGTTCCTTGTGACAGAGTTTTTAAAGGGGAAGAAAGGAGGGGGAAAACTCATTGTTCATCTGCTTCCTTTTCAAGAAATATTTGCTTTTGCTGACAAGTCATAAACTCCAGTCTGAGGATTGGAAAACAAATGGGCAAAGGAAGGAGAGTTGGATGCTTTGAGCTGGACACAGTGATGAGAAATCCAAAGCCAGTATGCCAAGTACTTTTCTTTTTGAACATATTTATCATGTCAACTTTTAAACTAATTTATTTATGTGGAGACAGCCAGATATAAAATTAGGGAGTAGGTAAAGTTTTTCTTCAGAGTATCACAATTTCTCATACTACCTTCTATTCCCTTTCTATCATATCTCCCCTTTCTGTTACTAGATTTGCAGTCATAGGTCCAGGACTCAAATCTTAGTTCTGCCACTTATAATATGACCCCTAACAGGTCACTTGACCTCGCTAGGGCCTCAGTTTTTTCATCTGTAAAACAAGAAATTTGAACAAGATGGCACCTGAAATGGTTTCCATTTTTAAATTTATTATCCTATAATTCTATGTGACTTTAATCACTTCACATCCTTTGGCTTTAGGATCTATAAAACCAGGGATTTGGACTACATAATTTGTAATTTGTATTTCCCATCTATAATTCAATTCAATTAAATTTAGCTAGCATTTATCAAGTACCTGCTATGTGTAAGGCACCATGCTAAAGTTAGAAATGGCAAATAAAAAGTTCTTAAGGAATTGAAAGTCTACTGGCTGAGTGGGGGCTATGACAATATAAACATAAGTTAATAATAAATACAAGGGTCCCAAAAGTCTTAGGGTAGTTGTAAGTTTTAGTAGCTTAAAACTGCACTAAGCTACCTGGGACACCCTGGACAAAATAACATGAAGAAGAAGAAAAACACTAATAGCTAGGGGAATTCTCACAGGAGGTGGCACCTTAACTGAGTGTTGAAGGCCAATAATTCTAAGAGGCAGAAAAGAGGAGGGAGTACATTCCAAGAATGGGTGACAGCTGATAGAAAGGCAAAAGATAGAATGCCTAGTTCAGAGAACAGCAAGTAAAGCACTTTGGATAGAACACAGAATACTTGAAGAGCATGATGTCAATAATCCTGGAGAGGTAGGCTGGAGATGGCCCATGAGGGAATTTAAATACCAAGCTGTGAAATTTGTATTTTATTCTAGGATCAATACAGTCACTGAATATTCTTAAGCAAGGGGTGACATGGTCAAATCTGTACGTTAAGAAGATTATTTTGTCAAATTGAATTGGAGAGAGGAGAGACCAGAGGTGTAGGGAAATCAATTAGGAGGCTACTGTAGTAGTCTAGGTAAGTAGTGATGAGGGCCTGAACTAAGTTGACAGCTGGAGAGAATGGAGATAGATGTAAGAAATGTTGTAGAGAAAGAATGGAAATGGCAAGGGATTGGCCATTGATTGGATTATGTGAGTGACAGCAAAGTCAAGGATGCTACTCTTCTAAGACTGCAAAGCAGAGTGACTGAAAGAATGATAATTGCAGTAACACACAAAAGCACAATGTCTGGCACATAGGATGTATTTAATAAATGTTTGTTGAACTTAATTGAATTAAATTTTGCAAGAGGGATATATTTGGTGAGGAGAGGTAGATATGATGAGTTCTGTTTTGGGTGTGCCGAGTTTGAGATGCCTATGGAATCTCAGATGGATCTGTCCACCAGGCACCTGGTGCTGAAATTCTATGAATCTCACCACTTCTACTCAGTGTTGTGACATTCTGTTGGTCTGTGGTAACTTTGAGTTCCTCACTATAGCACCTACCTAAGCTGTCCTCCTAGTCTTATATTCCAGACCTTTCTTTCCATTTTTGTCCTACCTATGCCCCATTTCTTCTCAGTCATAGTCTCTGCTAGCTGACAATGGGTGGTAATAGGTAAAGCTGACAAACCGATCCTGGCTAATGTGTTGCTAACAGGTTGCCCCTCCCCAGTGATATCATGCCTTAACTCAGTAACACTACCTTTTTCATTAAGAAGGTTCTTAAGAAGCATTTTTTAAAATGTTATTTTGTTTGGTTTCTATCCACATCTATGATAAGAAAACTCTATTGAGTGCAGATCAATAACTGTTCCTGCAATTTCCAATATTAATGGAACAGCTTACAGCAATTCTATGAAAGAGTTTAAGTGACTCTTAGGGTTGCATGGCCAGTGGGTGTCAAGGCTATCTCTTTATCTGTTATACCAGGCTATTTTTCAAGGAGTTACATAAGCAGTGGAAATGACAGTCACTGAAATAGATCAGTGGCAGTGTGATTTCAGGCAAGCCTCTTTCCCTTCTGGACCTCAGTTTCCTCGTCTAGAAAATGAAAAAACTAAATTAAATAATCTTGAAGGTCCCTTGAAGGTGACACAATATCTCTAAGTTAATTTGAGAGTATGGGGGTGTCTTTTAGGTTGAATTCACCCTATTAATAATTCTATGGCTCCACTGATTTTACGTGAGAAGATAAGCCTGGATATTTTCTAAATCTGTATGAAAGGTCAATGATTAATAACACATTGGGAGACAGCAAGGTTAGTGCATAGAATCAGGTGATAGGTGGGTTCATAACTCTCTTGTGGTACACAATAGCTAAAATGGATAACATTTATATAGCACTTTAAGATTTGCAAAGCGCTTTACATATACTGTCTTATTTGATTCTCACAACAACCTGGGAGGTAAGTGCTATTGTTATCCCCATTTTATAGGTAGGGAAATTGACACTGAGAGGCTAAGTGATTTGCCTAGGGTCACATAGCTGATGTGTCTGAGGTAGGATCTGAACTCAGGTCTTCATGACCCATCGTGACTTTGGGTCTAATACTTATATTTATACTGAGCAGCCTCAAAATTTAAAGATGAAAGAACAGGTTCAAAGAGGATGACTGACTTACCCATGATCAAATATGTTGGGTTCAGAGGTAGGATTTGAACCCAGATCCTCTGGCTCTAGATTCAATGTTTATTATTAGTCACTTAACTTTTCTAAGCCTAGGTTTTCTCATTTGTAAAATGGGGATAAACAATACCTATAGTTCTTAAATTTTAGACTTAAACGAGCTAATGCTTACAAAGCATTTTATAAACCTTTAACATGTTATAGAAGTGCCAGTTACCACTATTACTATAATTAGAAACTCTGTCTTCCATACCACAGCCCGCTACAGCAAAAGTAATGATGTCATATGAATAATGACTCTTGTGTTAATGATACTACATTGACAAAAGTTTTCTGAATTTGACCAGATTGGGAATTTATGACAGGCAACCCTAGCCTTTTTCTTGGCTTATTTTGAGAATTTCATCTTTCAGTCCAAATGGAAATAAAGCAGCATTTCTTTTCATTCCATAAAGAGTTGTCTCAATCTCCCCCATCTCCAAATTCCAAATGTGCTTAGTCTGTATCACACACTGGACACTTGGTTTGTTATATCCCATGGCTATTTTATGCACATGTGTTTTCTCTACCCCTTCATCTTGTAAGCATCTTGAGATCAAAGGCTATACCTTTCTTAATCCACCCAACATAGCACCATGCTAGACACCCAGTAGATACTTAAGGAATATTTGTTGAATTTATTGGAACTTAATCAATTTGAGATCTTAATCTTTGTTTCTGTCCTAGTTATTCTCTTTTAGGGCTAGAATCTTTTACAAAGCAGTCTTATTAGAAGGTAATGGACTTGGACAAGTCCCTTATCACTGCAGCAACTAGTGGCTAGACATGGAATCGAGGATTTAGTAGGGGAGAAAGAGGGTGCTTCTGTCAGCTGATACTAAAAAAAAAGAGTTCAGGCTTATAGATACATAGATACAAGCAATGGAACCCTATGTTCATATAATCTTCAAGGAAAAATCGACAAGAGTACCCCAACTCACTATGATTCAGCCCTTTTGGCCACATTATCCTTTTTTTTTTTTTGACTTCTCTTTTCCTTCAAGGCTGCCCTTTAAATTCAGCTTAACCAGATTTCACCCAGATAAACTTGCTGGGATACCAGCATAGAGGATGATTTATGCTAGGGCTATATAGATGTCACTGGGCCCATATCTAGGCAGAGAGGGGGAATATAGCTTAATGATCTCAGTGTGGTCCTTAGTAATCTCTTGGAAAATTGTGTTTAACTTCACCAGCTATGTGCTAGAGTCATCACAATGATTAATAAAATTGGAGACAACGGTAATTGTACCATCTTGTATGACCTTGAGTAATTCACTTCCCTTTTCTGGCCCTTACTTTGCCTTCTCTGTCAAAAGGCAGGGTTGTCAGACTAGATGAGCTCTAAGGTTCCTTCTTAGTCTCGATCTTATGATCTTACCCGCTTCTCAGGGGGTGCTCCATGTGGACAATCTGTAGGTGAAAGGACTAGAGTCACATTCTCATTCAGGGCGCTGAAGGTGATGCTTATGGAATCTTGACTGTGTATCTTCAGTTTAATTTGTTCATTCATCTACAGAAACATGGGGAAGGTGTTATTGCCTTAATCATCCTTGATTGTCCTTTCCTGACCATAAAGCAAAATTTGTTGAAGGTCCATTGTTCTGCTCTGTATGAGTTAAAAGACAAATGCAGAAATTTGTCTCATGTGATATATATCCACGAATGACTCCTGACCAAATGCAGAGAAACTTTTGAGCCCTAGAGAGCCAGTAAAGAAATGCTCCTCCCCTACACACACACACACACACACACACACACACACACACACACACACACACACACACACACACCCCAGGAAACGGTTCTACTATCTTTCTTCTGATTTTTAGAGTCACCAAAATGAAGTCCTGAAAGTCTCATCATCTTTCAGATCTCTTCTAACTGGATTCCTTGTTACGTAAGGCAAGGCAGTCTCTGGTTTCTTGCCACACAAGTGGTAGGGACAAGAAGTTCAATGAATTTAGTAATGACAAAGACAGATCACTGTGGACGGGGAAGGCTTCCTGGAAGAAGTGGGACTCAATATACACCTTAAAGGCTGGATAGGTAAGGATGGGTCATCCAGAGATGAGAGGGCATTCAAAGTGGGAAGAGTAGCAGGGGCAAAGGTGTGAAGGTGAGAAAGTATGATATTTCATGGAACAATATATAAACTACCTGAAGTTGTTAGGCAGAGTGGTAGGATGAAAGTAATATTCAAGGATGATAATTACTACAGTCCCTTACAACTCTGAGAAGCCATGCATGGTAGGGGCTTGTGGGAGGGGGTAAATGGTGGTGTAAAATTAAGAAATTTGAAGGTAGGGAGGCCAGTTAGGAAGATTTCTTTTCAGTAAACTCCTATAGTACTTGTTTTCTAGATCTCTCTTTCTGGCCCTTAACTATATACTGAATTGCTATGTTATTGTTATTTTTCTGCTTCATGGGTAGATAAGCTCCTTGAAATTAGAGACTGTGCCTTATTTATTATGGTATCCTCTATGGGTCCTAGAACAGGCTTGGGCATACAGTAGGTACTTAACGAATAAATGAAATTCTCTGATGGGGCCCAGGATGCTCGCAAAAACATTCTTCTCTAAATTAAGTTCTAATGGGTCTTGGGGAGCTACAAACACTCTTCCTCCATTGAAGGAATGAATAAAACTCTAGTGGACCCTAGGATGATCTCAGAAAGATATAATTCTCCTTCACTATTGTATGGGAAAAGCTACACAGGTCTGACCATTAATATATACTTGCACTCTATGAATTAGTGGTATTGTCTCCTACCTTATACTCTAATGATGTCAAGGTCCGCTTCTTGGAGGTCCAACTCCATTTGTGAACTGCATGCCCCATAGTGTCTTTTATACACCCTCCCTCATGATTCATCATAAACAGACATGGATAGCTGAGAGAAAACACACAAGAATGCGCTGAGAGAAGTAAGGGCATATCTTTTGATGGGACTTCCTTTCATGAGTTCTAGGGGAAAGTGTTTGTGTCAGGGGAGAGGGGATAGGGAGGTTAGTTTCTCTTGCCCTAGGCTACAAATAAGGAGGTAGAGGCAGAGAAGGAAAAGTACCAGGGCTAAAAGCCATGGAACATGTTCATACTAACGGATTTTACTGTAACAAGTGGCATTTTTCTTGGTTGTTTTGGCCTCTCAGGATCTCCCAAGGGTGATCCAGAGAGGGGAAGAAGGTATGTCAGATTCCAGGACATGTTTACCATATATCACCACCATATTCTTTTGATACTGTCCTATGACAAATGTCCCACAGTCTATTTTCTCTTGCTCTTCTCTCTAAATTACTTGGACTCTTGAGAGATTCAGAAAGGCAGAGACAAGAAATCAAAATCCATTCCCCACCTCTCCTACCCATACACACAATATACTATATTGAGGCTCAGAGCAGAGCCTTGAATTCCACAGGCTTCCTTGTATTACAGTCCCATACTGAAAGGAAAAAAAAAATCATCAGGGAAACAAGGCAAGAGATACTTCCCCAACCCCTCAAGTAGATTTGGATGTCTTACATCTTTTATCCGCTGTGTCCTTTGAAAAAATGCCTGGGAGACGTCCTTTGGGCTACAGCAGACAGACTATGAAAGTGGAAATGCACTTCATTTTCAAGGCTTGACTGTATGTAGTGGTAAGGGTATGGGGTAAATGGGGTGAGAGGCTCCAAACTTCACTGTAAGTTGACCCACCCTTCAAGGAATATAAAGTGTCATGGGAGCCCAGATTTAGAGCTGAAAGGGGCCTTAAAGTTCATCTCGTCCAATAATGTCAAACTCAAATAGAAACAAATCTCTGCAAGCCACATATTGACTTGGTCAGTCATTTCAGTCATGCCCAATTCTTTGTGACCCCATTTGGAAGTTTTCTTGATAAAGATACTGAAATGGTTGGCCATTTCCTTCTCCAGCTCATTTCATCAGTTGAGTAAACTGAGGCAAACTGGGTTAAGTGACTTGCCCAGGGTCACACAGCTAGTGTCAAGTGTGTGAGGCCAGATTTGAACTCAGGTCCTCCCAACTCCAAGGCTGAAGCTGTATCTACTGTACCATCTAGCTTTCCCAATAAATGGTTTTTTTTCCTTGATTTTTTTTTTCATTCAGAGTTTACATTATCAACATCACTGTTTCTAATAATTCACTCACTGGTTCTTGAGGTTATACTGCACACTTCCATGGCCTTCAGCAGTAAACAGACCTATGATGGGGAAGTTTGGTGTATCGTTGAAAATGCAGGTTGTGTATCTTCCCTTGCAGCACGTAGGAATCTGACACACAGCAATATGTCCTGAAGGATAGCTGGTGGCAACAGTCAAGTCAGATAAAGAGAAATTTCTCAGGTCTCTTGATGGGACCCAGTAAGCTACAGAAAAAAGCATGCTAGATCTGAAGCCAAAAGATGTAGATTCAAATCCCAGCTCTACCACTTATTAGCTATATGACCTTGGGCGAGTAACTGAATCTCTCCAGACCTCAGCTTCCTTATCTATAAACCAAGGAGGGTGGGTAAGATTACGTGAAGGATCTGAGAATGATTTGCCTAAGAAAGAGAAGACTCAAGTCTTCCAGGTCTTGATGTTATGTTTAACACACTGCCCTTGGGTGCCACCCTTATTGGGTGCTCCTTATTTTCTTAATCTTATTTTTATTGATCTTTTGCTTTTACGTTACCTTCACTTTTTACATACTCGCCCCCCCCCACCAACTGCCCCCACTGCCACACAGCCATCTATTATAACAAAGATTTCAAAAGAAGGGGGAAAACAATTCAGAAAAACCAACCAATCAGAAAAAAACTTATCTCAACTGGATCTGACAGTATTTACAATATTCCATACACATAGTTTTCCACTATTGCAAAATGGAAAGGAAGAATGTACCTTTTTTTTTCATTCTTTCCCTGCTTCTTGGACAACTTCTTCTGATGAACCTGTAGGAGCTCCCCATATTACCTTAGATACTTTCTAGCATGAGACGTTCAACAGTCACTCAAGATTGACCTTGGAGAACTTTCCCTTCTGTGATCTTTACATAAGCAAAAAAGGCTTTATACATAAGAGGAATAGCTAAAACTACCTTCATAGCATGATGGCAGGGAAAGGTATGTTTTGCTCTGCTATGTTCCTCTTCACTTCTCCAATCCAGTTACGTTTCACTTTATTCCCTACTCTTCTTATCCACAGTCACCTTCTGCCTTGCTGCACATAGCATCCTTCCATTTCTCTCTCCTTTCCTCTTTCCAGTTACAGAACCATAATTCAAACCAAGCCAGCCAAAAGGTGTGTCAATGTATGCCACCCCAATAACTTTCCAAATCAAGATAACTCCTCCTCTGTCACCATTGTCTACCTCAATTAAAATGTAAGCTCCTTGAGGGCAGGCACTTTCTTCACTTTTGTTTTTGTATCCCACAGAACAGAGCCAGAGTGCTTGGCACTTAGTAAATGCTTAACAAATGCTTTGTATTCATTCATTCATTTGGAATAATAATCCTTCAAATACTTGGAGACCCCTCTCAGACATCACTTAACTTTTTCTCCAGAATTGTTTTCCATCAGTCTTCTTATATCAGGCCTTTAGCTTGAGGCTTTGATCTCTGTTCAAATAATAACTTCCACTCACTTGCACTTTAACATTTTCATACCACTTTACATTCATGATGTCATTCTGAGCTTCAGAGCAAGTGGGGCAGGTAGGTACTAGAGATATTATTGCTTCCACTTTACTGAGGAGGTTACTAAAGCTTAGAGAGGTCAAGTGACTTGCCCAGGGTCACACAGATACTAAGCATCAGAAACAGGAGACACACTTCTTCCTGTCTCCCAATCCTGGACTTTGTCCCCACACCATGACTATGTACATCCCTTGAAAAGGGGCAGGAGGAGGATTTCATAGGACTGTATGTTTAGAACTGGAGTGGAATTTCGAGATAATCTAGTCTAACCATCTCATTTTCTGGATGAGAAAACCGAAGCCCTGAGACATACTCAAGGTTATAGAAGTATTTAGTAGCAGAAGGGGGATTTGAATTCACTTTCCCAGACTCTGAATCCAGTGCCCTTGACATCAGGTATTTACATTTCTAGGTGAATGAAGGATCTGAGATTGGAGCAATAGGGAGAGAAGAGAAACCTAGATGGCAGGAACATGCCATGGGGCACTGACAAACTTTGTAGTCACCATTTCGCTGAGGAGGGGGCATTTGCCGCTGAATACTATGCCTACGTAAGGAGTCAGTAGTTTACAGAAACTAGGGCTAGTACCTTCCAACCCTAACATAACATTTGACTTCATGGCCTTCCTCCTGGATCCATTGTATCATTGTCACCTGAAATGGTTCTGGCATCCAGCTGTTGATGATGTTGATGGTGCTCTTTGGGAGCTGCGACAGATAAGTGTCGCCCAAATATTTCCACCCACCTAAAGAAAGATCTGCTGCTGGAAATGCATGGAAAAGTGTTTTGGACAGCCCAGTGCAGACTCAAAAAGGAAACTGTAGCTATAGAACCAAGAGGGACCTTAGAGATGATTTAACTCCAACTGCTTCATTTTATAGAGGAGGAAACAGAAGAGATTAAATAACTTTCCTAAGGCCAGAGTCAGGATTTGAAAGCAAATCTTCTGACTTACTCTAAGCCCTCTCTCAGAATGTTAAGGGGGAGGAGTCTTAGAGATCATCCAGCCCACCTCCTTCGTTTTACAGAGAAGGAAACCTAGCCTTGGAGAGGTTCAGTGATTTGTCCAAGGTCATACAAAGAATGAATAACCCAGCCAGGATCAGAAGAATCCAGGCCTTAGATTCCCATCATATAAATCTAGTCACCATTACTAGAACTTTAATTAGCAATTTTCAGGCCTAAAACATACTCTCAAGTCAACTTTTGAAGCCAGCTTTGATGGGAGTGGGTGGCTAGGAGGATAAGTGGACAGAGCACAGGATTTGGATTCGAGAAGACCCAAGTTCAAATCCAGCCTCAGACATATACTAGCTGTGTGACTCTGGGCAAATTACTTAACCCTCTTTGCCTCAGTTTTCTCATACGTAAAATGAGCTGGGGAAGCAAATGGCAAGCCATTCTAGTATGTTTGCTAAGAAAATCCCAAATAGGGTCAGAGATTCGGACATGACTGAAAAATGACTGAAATTAATGGGAGTAGTGGAGAGGGACTTCTCGACACTTTTCTGTCATTGTGACAGGGGGATAGGGGTGGACAGAAGCTCCAGGACACTATGAAATCACCCTTAGGAAGGCTCTGGAGGATAGAGAGGTATGGGGGTGGGTCAAGCAGGAGCTTTCACCTGGGGTAAGGGGATGGGAAATCCCATATTGTAGCTTCCTAATTTTTTTAAAAAGTATTGATATCTTCTGTTTTAATATCACCTTCATATGTAGATAATCCTTCCCTCCTCCTCTATCCAAGAAGCCCTTTTTTGCAATAAAGAATAAAAAAAGAGGAAAAAAAATCAGTTCTGCAAAATTAACCAACACATCAACTGAGTCTGATAATATATGCAACGTTCACTCCCACAGTTCTTTAACTGTGTAAGGAGAGTTGCCTTTTTTCCATTTCTTCTCAGGGGTCAAGCTTGATCATTATAATTATACAAGTAGCTTAACCAATTATTCTTGCTAACCAGGTGCTAACTAGATGCTAAGATAAGCTCAGCTTTCTTGGGCTGTCTCAGGGCTCCTTGAAGAAAGACAAAGCTCATGCTATTCACCTCTGGACCGAGAGGTGATGGACTAATATGTAGAATGAGACATACATTTGGGGGCATGGCCAATAGGGAATTCATTTTGTTTGACTATGCATATTTGTTATAAAGGTTTTTTCTTTCTTTTTTTTCCCCCATGGATGGGAGAAAGAAAATGCTTGATAACTGAAAAAAATTTAATGAAAAAAGAAGGCAAATGCCTCTAGTACTACCCCCCCCAACTGATGACTTTTGACCATCAAGTTGGGCTCACCATTAAGATGATAGGATACTAGCCTGTACACAACTAGTCACAACCAATGCAAAGCTTGGGTCCTACTTGGCAAACCAACAAGTCTTTTGTGGTCTCAGTATGGGTGGGAGTGGTGGGGCCAAGAGCCAGGTAGATAATCCTGCTAGCGAACAAAGACCTTTGATGGGGTGGAATACTGTGCTTGCATTATAAATATTTCATCACCCTCTCCTGGATAGCTTATATGAACCTAATTCATGGACATCTTCATGGGGGCACCAGGGCAGTTGATCCTATTAAATTCAGTGAAGAGCTGGAAAAGGATAATGCAGGCAGGGGGGAAAAACCCACTTGAATGAGCCCTCTGTGTTTAATATACTACTATACATTTAGAAGCTGAGGCTGAATAAAGCGTGATGAATGGATTCATTTAGGCTAGGGAAATAATGTGACATCTTTGACTAGGAGTTTAAATTCTGAATTCCCAGTTCGGCTAAAAGGCCAAATTGAGCTTGAGTTCCTGAAGCAGCCTGGGAGGATGCCTGCCTGTGTCGTCTAGCCCTTTAGAAAGGTTGCTAAGCCAGCTCAGACAATTTTTTTTAAAATTTCTCCAGGGCCAGAGGCCTCTGAGCAGTAAGAGGAATTATTCAAATTGATCCCCTGATATTTGTGCCCCCCCAAAAAAAGGAAGAAGAAAGAAACAATCAAAAGTGGCATTATTCAGCTATCCCTAGGAAGGGTAGTTGGCTGGGGGGGAAAGGGCACTAGTCTAGGATGGAGGGCTAGACCTGGGTGTCTGACTTTGGGCAAGTCACTTCCCTGGCCCCCAATTTCCTCTGTCAAATGAGAGGGTTGGGCAAAGTAATCTCTAAGGTCTCACCCAGCTGTGACATTCAAGGATTAATCCATAATGCATATGTGTGAGAGGGGTGATGGTAGGGGGAGCTGATCTGCTGGATTAGTTTACCTCCAACAGAGCTGGGCATGCACTCTTTGTGGGCCGTGTGCTCTGGTCCCTTGCTGAACGCCTTGCACTTTTTGCTAGGATAACACAGCAGCTTCTGATAGGTCACCAAGAATCCCCAGGACTACACTTCCAAGACCTCAAGCCAAAATACCAAAAGCCTTGGTACCCCTGTCCCTGAGGTGCCCAGTATCTTCAAGTCACCTTTGAGACCAGAGTTCAAATCTGGCCTCAGGCACTTTATAGTTATGTGTGTGTGACCTTGCACAAGTCACTTAATCACTATTTGCCTCAGTTTTCTCAACCATAAAATGGGGATAACAATAGCATTTACCTCACAGGATTGTGAAGATGAAAGGAGATATTTGCAAAATGCTTAGCACAATGCCTGACATTAGTAGGTGATTGACAAATTCATCCTTCCTTTCCTTTCCTTCTTCCCTTCTCTTCTCTTTCCTTCTTCCTGTCTTCCTTCCTTTCTTCCTGTCTTCCTTCCTTCCTTCCTTCCTTCCTTCCTTCCTTCCTTCCTTCCTTCCTTCCTTCCTTCCTTCCTTCCAAAACTCCCTCAAGCAGTGCCTTTCCTACCTGGATTCAAGTGGAGATCTTATGACAGTCACCACGGCCAAACCCTTTGGGGTTCTGTGCGCCTAGGAAGTTCACAGGTTGTTGTTTAGTCATCTCTCACTCTTCATGACCCCATAGACCATAAGACGCCAGGCCCTTCTATCCTCCACTATCTTTTGAAGTCTAAGTTCATGTTCTTTGTTTCCATGATACTATCTATCCATCTCATCCTCTGCTGTCCCCTTTTCCTTTTGCCTTCAATTTTTCTCAGCATTAGGGTCTTTTCCAATGAGTCTTATCTTCTCATTATGGAGCCAAAGCATTTAAACTTCAGCTTCAGTACTTGACTTTCCAGTGAATAGCTGGAATTAATTTCTTTAAGTATTGACTGATTTGATCTCCTTGCTGTCCAAGGGATTCTCAAAAGTCTTCTCCAACAGTACAATTCAAAAATGTTAATTCTGCAGCACTCAACTTTCCTTATAGTCGAACTCTCATTGTCATACATTGCAACCGGAAAAATCATAGCTTTGACTATAAGGACCTTTGTTGGCAAGGTGATATTTCTGCTTTTTAATATGCTATCCAGATTTGCCATAGCTTTTCTTGCAAGAAGCAAGCATCTTTTCATTTCATGGCTGCAGTGATCTTTGAGCCCATGAATATAAAATCAGATACTGCTTCCATTTCTTCTCCTTCTATTTGCCAGGAAATGATGGAAGCAGTTGCCAAGATCTTAGTCTTCTTATTATTAAGTTTCAAGCCAGTTTTTGCACAGGGTAGCTGCACACAAAAGACATCCACAAGGGCACACACAACACAAGGAAACACAAACAAATAGGTAGCACCACTCAGGAACAAAAGATCACCAAAGCCACACTGCCCCACACTAGCCATTTTATTTCTCCTTTTCCATCAAATGAGATAACATACAAAGCAATTTGCAAGCCTTTAGTACTATGAATGTTAGTTATTATTACTATTTTTCCATTCAGCCCATATGGAATTTCAGCCAAACAATAAAAAAAAAAAGAGAAGGATTTCAACCTCTTTGCTTTTAGTTGCCACTCTTAAGCAGCCTCAGACTTAGGAGTGGGTATCCTTTTGAGGGATACTGACAATAGCTCCTGCTTTCCTGAAGAAGGACAGTAAAACCCACCTCCCCAGCAGTCAATTGCCAAGCAACATTAACAATTCAAGACCTAGATGAAAAACCTAAAAGTAAAAAAGAAAAATGTCATTGGCCATGTAAAACTAGCCATTATCATGGAGAGCAATGAGGGTAACAGTGATGATAGGAACTGTCCAGTTAATCTTTATTCAGAGGAAGCTAGAGGGTAGAGTTGGCCAGGCACAGACATACATAAAAACATGACTATGTTTACAAACACCCAGCAGAGACCTCAGAGACCTCCATCCAATCTGTTTAATTTATAGATGAGGAAACCAAGGAAACCAAGAGAATTCCTTGCTAAACTTGCTTTTCTGCTGTCCATCTGAGGATCAGCCTCTTGCAGCCCAAACCTGGACCTCACTAGGTAATGATGTGGAACAGCTCTAAAAAGCAAATACAAGAAATTTAAAAAAAAGAGCAGATTGGAGTTTTCTTGGGAGTGGAGAGGGGTAAATAGCCCTACTATACACTCAGAGGCACCACAAGAGTACTTTTCATGTCTATTATGAAATACTACAAATCATCATCATCATCTTCTTCTTTTTCTTCTTCTTCTTCTTCTTCTTCTTCTTCTTCTTCTCCTCCTCCTCTCCCTCCTTCTCTTCCTCCTCCTCTCCCCCCCCCTCCTCCTCCTTTTATTATTTTGAGGAACAGCTTATTGCTTGATTCTCCTCTTTGAATTCCACTCTCTACTCTACAGTCTTCTCCTCCATTCTCCAAAAAGCTTCTCACCCTAGAAAATCCCTCTGTCCCTGCAGCCCTGTTCTCTTATTGCTGAGTTTCTTCTGGAACCTCTATCTTGATAAAATGTCCAAGTCAGCCCCAGACTCAGTCCTTCACTCCTCTCTTAGTTCTGATTATGATTCTCCTGACTTCTCCCCCATCCCTTTTCCAAACCCCTGCTTTTCAGCTTCATTTTAGCTATCACCCTTCATACGTTAGAATGTAAGCTCCTTGAGGGCAGGGACTATCATTCTTTTTGATTATATTTGTATTCCCAGAACTTGTGATTGGCACATCTTATTGTTGTTGTCATTTTAGACTCCATTCTTGGCAAAGATACTGAAATTTTCCATTACCTTTTCTAGCTCACTTTACAGGTGGGGAAACTAAGGCAAGCAAAGTTAAGTGACTTGTCTAGGGTCCCAAAGCTAGTAAGCGTCTGAGGCCGGATCTGAATTCAGGAAGTAAGTGCTTAATAAATGTTTGTTACCTTGTTGGCTTGAAGGCAGTAGTGGAATGAAGGGTTATAGTATACAAGTAATTTCATTGTACTTCATGGGGATCTCAGTAAAGATTTTTGCCCTGCCCCTTTCTTTCCACCACCTTTATATGCTATGATGAGTATTCACAAATAGATGGCTTATTAATTATCATGAGATTAACAGGTAAAAGAGTGATCTTCACAAGAGACCTTGATTTACAATGACAGAAATTACATCAAAATTAAAAATAAGTTGTGTTAAATCACTGAGTAAAAATCCTCTACTTTGTAGGTCATAGATCTAGAGTTCAAATGGACCCCAGTAGCTTCCTGGGGCAACCTGTTGAAAAAGCATGACAGGTGATCATGCAGTCTTTGCTTGAAAACTTTTGATGAGTTCACTACCTTTGAAAGCAGCTCTTTTCACCCAGGGACAACTAGAATTATTCTTATCAAGTTGGTGTTAGTGGCTAAGAAGGTCTGTAGAATCAAAGTGATCTGAGGTTGTTAAAGACTTTTATCAGATGGTGCAATGGATAGAGCTCTGGGCCTGGAGTCAGGAAGACCCGAGCTCACATCTGGCCTCAGATACTTACTAGGCATATGATTTGGACAAGTCACACAACTTCTCTTTGCCTTAGCTCCTTCATCTGTAAAATGGGGCTCATGAGAGCCCCCACCTCCCAGGGCTGTTGTGAGGATCAAATGAATTGCTAATTGTAAAACGCTTAGTGTGGTGCCTGGCGCATCGTAAGAACCATATAAATGTTAGCTATTATGAACATAAAGGTCAGATCTCATTAAGTCAGAGATGAACCAAACCCAAGATAAAAAGATTAGAGTCAAAGCCAGGAGAGGTCCTGTGCCACAGATTGGGAGAAGCATGAAAGTGAATGTGTTAGGCCATGTTCAACAACCAACAGGTACATAGGCTGGCCAAGAGTTGGTCACTAGGAGGGTTCTGGTCTTACATGGCAGTCTTTGTTATGCTCACTGACACTCTCTTCTTGTATCTGTGCCACCATGGGGAATGTATCTAGGGTGTCCAAAAAGCCTCATTGTCATTTTAAGCTGGACAGCTAGGTGGCACAGTGGATATAGTGTTGGGCTTGGAATCTGGAAGATGAGTTCAAATTTGGCTTCAGCCACTTACTAGTTGGGTGGCCCTGGGCAAGTCATTTAATCTTGCTTGCCTCAATTTCCTCATCTGTAAAACAGGCTGGAGAAGGAAATGGCAAGCCACTCCAGCGTCTTTGCCAAGAAAACCCTAATTGGGGTCACAGAGTTAGGCATGACTGAAAAATGACTGAACAACAGTTTTAAGCAGCTTGAAATTTCACTAAGACTTTTGGGACACCCTGTAGAAAGGTCTTGTCCTACATCCCTTTACTTCTACCCACTGAAGCATTCCTAGGAGATTGGTGCACCCCTTTAATCTCATATTTATTATCTCCAAGATTTTATTGCCACCTCAAATATCTGGACATTCAATGCTCTTTTCCTTTCCAGATTTAAATGATAGTTTAGGGTTGGGGAGGGAAAGGGGTAAATAATTATAAGGGAAAGAATAAATGTTATAACATGCACAAAAATGGTATAAAAATCAGAATGCTCAATAGTTAACTTTGATATATAACTAAATAAAACTGGCTAGCACTAAACTAAACAAACCTCATCTCAACCCCAGTACAGAGTAGGCTTGGCCCCTTAAGGCAGGACAAGATCTTTAAGACAAAGGCAAGATCTTTATCTAGGAAAACCATCATGTGCTTTTCCTCCTACTACAAGCCGTGCTCCAGACTTCTCCCCAAGAGGAGAGACTCGGGTCTTTGGCTCCTTCTCCTTTGTGATCTGCCTGACCTAGGCAAGTAGGCAAATTATAATAAGTAACCCACCTCCAATCAATCCATGATTTTACCCAGGTAGTATGTCTATTCCCTACTTAGTCCACTCTACCCCCAAATCCTACCTGATTACTCCAAGAAGATGATGGGGTCCCAAACGAATATAGTTTTTAGTGCTCTTGACCTCAAGGAAGATTTTGGATTCATGCTTGGAAGGTTGGTGCATTTGCTCATTTTGGCACAGGGAACTTCATTTGTCAGGCAGGACGAGTCTTCAGATACCCTCAGGACTCTGTTAGGAGCCCTAAGTTAGGAGCCAGTGTCCACATCAATACTTTCCCAAGAAATAAAAACTTGTGGGAATGGGTGACTGGAGTGAGGGGGGCCCCTCCCACAAAGTGAAGGATACAAAACAAAGGTGGTCCCATCATAGAAGGTGTAATGAAACCTGAAGGCCCTCTTCGACTTGGTGTCCAGTATCTGAGACCGATGGCCAACAGGGTAAGGAGGGCGTGCTGTAGAATGTAAGAAAGACTTCGAGTCCCCTTTATAGATAATTGAGTGAGAACTGGACCTCTTGTCACTGTAGTTGTGTAAAATGACAGGGGAAGAAAATCTTTTCCCTTTCCATGAGTTCTTTTCAGCTTCTCTGGAAGAAATTAAAGGTGAGTGAAATTCAATTGGGTTTCAGCTAAACATACTGGGCCCTTGGTCCAACTCTCTGTGCTGGATCATTCTGATTTCCTATTCATGGGCTTGCTACCCCTGAGGTTTTCCTGGACTGTCTAGTAGAATTATCCTGAGCACAGGATCATCTGAGAATGACCAGTGATTAAATGGCAGGAAGAGATATTCTCTTTTCTGAATCTATTAGGGCAAACCCCTCATACCCAGATCCATCCACTCAGTTATAGCCTGGTCTGTGGTGCCTAGCATGATGATCTTCACAGAGTAGGTGTTCAATAAACATTTGTTAAATTATATCAAGACACCTTGCCACATGAGCTGCCTTAATAATAAAAAATAAATAATAATACAAGGAACAGAGTCAAGATGACAAAATTTAACAAGCAGTTTTTTCTCAGCTCTCCTGATATTCCCCTCCAAACAACTTTAAAAAGTGTGTCAAATTGAATTCTACGTTACACAGCCAACAAAAAGTCACAGTGAATCACTTTTTCAGCCCAGGACAGAAGGAGAGGTCTGTGGACACTGGGGTGAGGGCAGGCTAGGAACATGGCACAGTAGAAGTAACACCAATTATAGGCCTTTGAGGTGGTGGCAGTGACAAAAGCAATAGCAATGGTACCTCTATAAAACATTTTTTTTTGGTAGTTTGATAGGTATGGCATAACAAAAAGTCCAGAATATCAAAGGAATTAATGAAAAGAAATGCAGGGGAAGGTGGTCTAGCCATTCCAGATCTTAAATTGTATTATAAAACAGCCATAATCAAAACTACTTGGTACTGGACAAGAAATAGAGTGGTGGATCAGTGGAATAGGTTAGGTATATGAGACACAGTAGTTAATGACTGTAGTAATCTACTATTTGATAAACCCAAAGACCCCAGCTTCTGGGATAAGAACTCGCTATTTGACAAAAACTGCTGGGAAAACTGGAAAAGAGTATGGCAGAAAGTAGGCATAGACCAAAATCTCACACCATATACCAAAATAAAGTCAAAATGGGTTTATGATTTAGATATAAAGGCTGATACTATAAGCAAACTGGGAGAACAGAAGATTTCACAACCAAATAGGAGATAGAGAACATTACTAAATGCAAAATGGATAATTTTTATTACATTAAATTGAAAAGTTTTTGCACAAACAAAGCCAGTGCAAACAAGATTAGGAGGGAAGTAGAAAACTGGGAAAGAATTTTTACAACCATTGTCTCTGATAAGGGCCTCATTTCTAAAATATATAGAGAATTAAGTAAAATTTGTAAGAATACAAGTCATTCTCCAATTGATAAATGGGATGTGAACAGGATATGAACAGGTAGCTCTCAGATGAAGCAATTAAAGCCATCTATAGTCATATGAAAAAATGCTCTAAGTCCCTATTGATTAGAGAAATGCAAATCAAAACAACTTTGAGGTACCACATCACACCCATCAGATTGACCAATAATAATAATGTTGGAGAAGACGTGGGAAAATTGGAACACTAATGCATTGTTGGTGAAGTTGTGAACTGGTCCAACCATTTTGTAGAGCAATTTGGAACTATGCCCTCAGGGCTATAAAAATGCACATACTCTTTGACCCAGTAATAGTACTTCTAGGGCTGTATCCCAAAGAGATCATAAAGATGGGAAAAGGACTCACATGTACAAAAACATTTATAGCAGCTCTTTTTGTGGTAGCAAAGAATTGGAAATTGAGGGGATGCCCATCAACTGGGGAATGGCTGAACAAGTTGTGGTATATGAATGTAATGGAATACTATTGTGCTACAAGGAATGATAAGCAGGTGGACTTCAGAAAACCCTGGAAAGACTTGTATGGACTGATGCTGAGTGAAGTGAACAGAAGCAGGAGAATGTTGTGCACAGTAACAGCCATGTTGTGTGATGACCAACATTGATAGACTTGGCCCTTCTCAGCAATGCAAGGATCTAAGACATCTCCAAAGGTCTCATGATGGAAAATGTTATCCACACCCAAAGAAAGAATTACAGAGTTTGAATGCAGATTGAAGCAAACTATTTGCTATTTTTTTCTTCTGTTTTGTTTTGTTTTCTCTTTCTTGTGGTTCTTCCTATTGGTTCTAATTCTTCCTTACAACATGACTAATGTGAAAATATGTTTAACAGGAATGTATATGTATAGCCTATATCAGATTGTGCACTGTCTTGCAGAGGGAGGGGGAGAAAAATTAAAAACTCAAAAGCTTAAAAAAAAAAGAAACCTGGCTTCATCCTAAAGATACTGCATGCCTAGCTATCATCAAAAAACAAAAATAAGAACAAATAAAAACAAAAAACAAAAACAAAAACAAAAAACAAATTGCAATGGTACCTAGAATGCTTAGCACCCAGAGATGGTAAGGGGATTAAACCTCTGGTCAGTAAGAGATAACAGGTGACCCTTGTGCTATCACTGGACTCAGGACCAGGTGTCATACGGCAACTCCACTGCCCATTATCCAGTTCCAGGTCACAGTTTCAGGGTGGAGAAGTGGTGGTCATGAGGGAGTATGGGCCCTGTCTGGGTAAGGACTAGAGTACAGATCAGAAGGGCACTGCCCACACCTTTCCCCCTTATCACACCACCTTAGAAGCACTGAAAATTTACAGTTCTCCAAAGTGAGCTGTAAAAACAGCAGGACATAAAAGCCTAGACCTGAGAACAATCATCCCACCCTCCTTACTCCACAGAAGTAAGCAGAGTCCAGATCTAACACAAATCCCAAAGTCAAGAAATAGGAAGGAAAAATGAGCAAACAGAAAAAAAAGAACCTGAACATAAAACTATACTATGGTGCAGAAGTTTAAGACACAAACTCAGAAGAGAACAATGACTTGAAAAATATCTATAGGCAAAGCCTCAAAGAAAAATGCAGCTTGGACACAAGCCGTACAAAAATTCCTAGAAGAGCTAAAGAAAGATATTTTTTAAAAGAGAAAAAAAAAGACTTAATAAATCAAATGAAAGCCATAGAAGAAAAATTGGGAAAAGAAATTAGAGTAATGCAAGAAAATTATGCAAACAAAATTAACAACTTGGTAAAAGAGGCACAAAAATACTGAAGAAAATAAATCCTTAAAAATCAGAATCAGACAAATGGTAAAAGAATGGCAAAATTGTAAAAACCTCATTGAAGAAAATAATCCCTTAAAAATTATAATTGGTCAAGTGGGAGCTAATAATTCCATGAAACACCAAGAAACAATAAAACAAAGTCCAAAAGTTAAAAAAAATAGAAGAAAATATGAAATATCTCATAGACAAAACATTTGATCTGAAAATCAAAGAGAGATAATTTAAAAATTCTTGGAGTATCTGAAAGCTATGATTTTTTTAAAAAAGATCTTAGACATCATATTTCAAGAAATTATAAAAGAAAATTGCCCAGATATCTTAGAACCAGAGGGCAAAATAGAAATTGAAAGACTCCATTGATCACCTCCTAAAAGAGATCTCAAAATGGAAACTCCCACAAATGTTATGGCCAAATTCCAGAGCTCCCAGGTCAAAGAGAAAATACTGAAGACAGCCAGAAAGAAATAATTCAAATACCATGGATCCATAGCCAAGATGACAGATGATTTAGCAGCTACCATGATAAGGGAATGGAAGGCTTGGGATATGATATTCTAGAAGGCAAAGGAGGTAGGATTACAACCAAGAATAACCTACCCAGAAAAACTGAGTACAACCCTTCAGAGGAAAAATGGAAATTTAATGAAATAAAGGACTTCCAAGCATTCCTGATGAAAAGATCAGAGTTAAAAAGAAAATTTGATATTTAAAGACAGGACTTAAGAAAAACAGAAAAAGGTAAACATGAGTGAGAAATCATAAAGAAGTTAATAAGGTTAGTTCATATTTACAATTATTCGCATTCCCAAATGGGAAGGTGATATATTTAACATCTAAGAACTTTATTATTATTGTGGCAATTAGTAGGAGTCTACTTGGACAGAGGATATATGTGTGGGTCTATTACTTATAGGTATTCTCAAAAGAAAAATGGAAGGCTGAGAAAGAGGGATATACTGGGAGGAGGAGGAAGGGAGAGGAAGGATCAGGGAAATTCTCTCACACGAAGGAGATGTATGAGAAACAGTTTCTACAACAGAGGGGAAAAGACAGGGGGAACAGGCAATACTTGAACTTCACTCTCATCTGAATTGGTTCAAAGAGGGAATACATACACATACACATACACCCACACACACATTACATACACATAAAGTTGGGTTTAAAAATTCATCTGGCCCAACAGGAAAGTAGAAGGGGAAGAGGTATGAGAAAGATAAGAAGTGATAAGAGGTTTGGTAGACTAAGGGAGGCACAGCAGTCATAAGCAAAAAGACTTTTGAAAAGGAAAACAAGGTAGAAAAAGAGAAAGATAAGTGGAAGAGAGTAAGAAGGAGGGAAATACACATTTAGTGACCATAATTGTGAATGTGAATAGGATGAGCTCACCTACAAAATGGAGAAAGACAGCAGAATAGATTAGAATCCAGAATCCAATAATATATTGTTTATAAGACACACTCTTGAAATAGAAAGATATACATGGTGTTAAAATAAGAAACTGGAACAGAATCTATTATGTTTTAGCTAAAATGAAAAAAAAAAGGCAGAGGTTGCAATCATGATCTTGGACAAAGCAAAAGCAAAAATTAGACCTAGTTAAAAGAAATAATCAAGAAACTACATTTTGCTAAATGGTAACATAGACAACAATAGTAAACAACATAGAACATATAGTAAATAGTAAATAACATAGAACAATAGTAAACATATGAACTAAATGACATAGTATCAGAATTATTTTTTTAAATTTTTAAAATTTTTTATTATTTTAGTATCCAAATTCTTGAAGTAAAAGTTAAATGAATAATAGGAGGAAATAGACAGTAAAACTGGCAGTAGGTAGTCTCAATTTATCTCTGTCAGAGCCAAACATA